AGTTGACAAGTATGGCAGAATATATATTAAAAAGCTTGTTTAACGTTTATATACATACACATGAAGAACTGCTGAGTTAAAAGTAACCCATTTGAATTATTTTTTGTTCAAGTTTGGACTGAGCTGACCCTTGTGTTGCTTTAAATATGCAGGTTTGAGTTATTGTTGGACCAAGAGTACAGTAGGTTTTATCTTCTAACTCAAAAGTGAGGTTAAAATGATCAGTTCGTAGAAGTAAAGCTACCACACACACACACACGCACACAATTACATTTTTCAACACATTTTAAACCTACATATTTTAAATGTCGCCCGCTTTCTTTCCTCTTCCGCACCAGTTTAATTAATTTTTCTCAAACATTGCTACCGCTCTCATTATTTAGACTGCAGCTAATGAGCTACTCAGAGCTAATCTCGGTTTTGTCTCCTCGGTGTGCTCTTGTAAACACAGTTTGTCTGGAGTGTGGTGCGCTGTGATCCACAATCACACTACTGCCGCTCCTTCCTGTTTCTGATGAAGCACACAGCTTAGGACTGGAAGAGAATACAGGAGGGACAGAGTGGAGAGATTAACACGACTGACTGACTGACTGGTAGCAGCTGAACTTGTAATAAAATGAGAGGATTTCACAGTTTGGACAACAAAAGAAGCATCTATTGGGAAACTGTGTGAGTGTGCTTAACTTTGCTCTGTTTATTTTTTGCAGCTTTGCATATTGCATTCAATGCCTGTGCATAAACAGGTAACTGTGTGTGTGTGTGGGGGGGGGGGGGGGGGTGACTCTAGCACCTCTGCACCTTCCTTATTTATTTGTCTGTATCAGTTAGCTCCTTCTCAGCACTTAAAATTAATGTCATCCAGCAAAAAATAGAGGCCGAAAGCTAAAATTCAGCACTTTCTCCGCAGCCCGGTTATTTATCAAGCTAACAAGGAGGAGATGCATCCTGTTTCAGCCGGGCCCAGGAAATATGTGCCATTAAAGCCCAGAGCTAGTGTTTGAGAGCCAAGGAATAAAAGTGAGCGTGTCAGGTAGAGGGGATGGACGGCGTTGCCAGCAGTATGGATGCAGAGAGAGCAGCAGACACATTTATATAGGAGACAATAGATACACTCAGGTTGCAGCATGAGGATACATCCTCTGCATGCGCTCCATGCGTGTGTATATAAGAAGTGCTGATTTGCTGATGGCTATAAAAGACGATCCTTTAGGGGAAACAGAAGACATAGTTTGGAGCTTTGAATAAATCATGTGCTGCCAGAGTGAGCTTAGCACTAATTTTCTCTTTAGGAGAAGGATGTCGAAACACGTCCCGAGGACTGTTAGTATTGTGCCGTGTTAACATCTCTACGGCATCAGGAGCTAACGGCTGAGTGTTGGAATTCAATTAGACACTGGGTGCAATGCTAAGCAGGTTGCACTGGGCAGCCACCACAGGGAGAGGAGAGAGGAAAGGATGGTGACGCCTGGGGAGCGAGGAAGGTTTGTGTGCGAGTGCAGAGGAGGAGGAGGAGGCTGCAGGCTGAAGGAAGGCCCTGAGCTGCCGTGATATCACACCAACCTCCGGCTCATCACAAGTTCCTTTCTCAATCACGCTGTGAGCACACAGCCACAACCTGAGGACAGCAGTGGCTCGGAGGCACACACATACACACACACACACACACACACACACACACACACACACACACACACACACACACACACACACACACACACACATAGTGATAACTGCTGCAGCTAATTATGTCTGAATAAAACAACTTCAGTCTTATAGATCTGAACCAACCGAGAGAAACGCTTGTGTTAATTTAAACAACGAGGAGCTTGTTGGTGTTTTAGAGGTTTAGCTTGGGGTGAAGCTCTGTGCTCATCAAAAACACACAGCGCACTTTTAAAAACAATCCACATCTAAACACTGATTTTCAAAATGTGTATCTTTACAAAAAGCTTGGAGTGAAAAGAAAATTATCCCTCTTTTCTGTATTTTGGAACTTAATTCTGCAAGCTTCCTCTCTTTTCCGACGAGGCCTCTATAACGAGCAGACATCCCGTTCGTATTCTCGCTGTCGGTTGAGTTTTATGGATGGAAGGATGACGACTGTGTCACCAGCAAACCCGCACCAGTGTAATGAGTCTCTCAGAGTGCAGTGGTTATATATATCCTGGGGAGTGAGGGAAGTGAAGTATGTCAGTCCCGTGGATGGAGCGAATCCTGCTCGCTGCAGAAAACAAAAGAACTCAGCGGAGGTAGTTTTTAAACGACAGCTGGATATTTGTGTGGGCAGCACCTCGACGTGCATCGCACTAAACCAGATATGTGCATTTTCACACGAGGAACTTTAAAAACCGACCTGTTTATTTCAAAATTCAACGACAATTTAAATCAGAGTGTTTTCTGAGGATCTAAAGTGCAGCTAAGATTAACAAGTGGGACTGAAACTTCCCCAGCTGTTCTTGTTTGAAGCAGTGACAGGCTCCACGGTGAACGGGCCAAACTTTTCAGCTTTTTACATTCGCAGCACATATGTCTGTGCATGCACTTTAAATTATACGCTCCCTCCGATATCTTTGCTCCTGCTGCAGACGCACACCTTGACATGTCAGTGTGCACACGTGTCTGCAAAAACCTGACCTGCCTGCTGTCAGCCACCAAGGCACCTTGCTTCCCCCCCACCCCCCCATACACACTCCCCCAAATGGCTGACTCACCCCGTCAACATGAGGGGAAGATAAGTCTCGTGAGGAGGGATGACGGTGGATAAAAGAAAGGAAGAAGGAAAAGTGGGACTGAGCTGAGGGCTGGTGGAGGCGTGGCTGGCTGATGGGTGGGTGGGGGCTCTGGAGCTTCTTCTAATGTGCCCTCTCCACCACCACCACCACCCCACTCCCTGTGACCTGAACACTCCTGACAGTCAGAAAGTGCTGAAGCATGCAGGTGTCCTAATGCTGCACACACACACGCACACACGCACACACACACACACATGCACACACACACAGATACAGGAGTTTTACCCTTACAGCCTTCCATTTCTTCCACTCACACATATTTGAATGTTCACCCATTTAGAACGTGTTCAAAGTAAAATAAGACGCTGCGTCCATGTTCAGAAAGCAACGTGAGCATCAGAACGTTGTGCACACGCACACACACACACAGAAGGTGGAGTGTCTGCGCCGCTGCGCAGTGAAATTAGTTGATGCTGATGCTGGAGTTTTCTTTGTCCAGCCTTTTAACGGTGCGGGGTAAACCTGAGGTGTCCAGAGAGTGTCCTGTCCTGTGTGTGTGCGTGTGTGTGTGTGTGTGTGTGAAGGTGGGGGTTGGCGTTAGAGTTGTATTACAGTGGTGATGGGTCGCCTGGCTGTAAGTCTGATACCTCAGCAGCACCCAGCATTGACCAGGCCTTTAAATAAAGCCTTCGATCCTCCAGCAGCAGAGAAGGTCACCGCCTGCCTCTGGTTACCCTGCTGTCTGTCTGCATCCATGGACAGGAGCCCTCACCCCCCTCACCCCCCTCACCCCCTCACCCCCCTCCACCACCACTCTGACGTTCACATTCAAATCCAGGTGCCTTCTCTCAGTCACTAAACTCCTGCTCTAACTTTGCTTTTGAATATTACCTTATGTCACCCCCCCACCACCACCACCACCCACGCACCCTTTACTGCCCGCCTCTTCTATTTCCTCCAGTTGTCCTCTACTGGAAATGTCAGACAGAAAAAAACAAACAAACAAAAAAAAAACATAAAATTAGTTCTCCTTTTTCTTTTCTCTCTCAGTCAGTCCCATTGTCCGTCCATCTCCATGTCAGCTTCAGATAAAAATATTTAGTGCCCCACCCCTGCAAAAAGAGCAAGGAGGATGAAAGAACTCAGTGGGTCAGGGGAGAGGTCAAAGGTTGTGACCTCATCCCATGAGCACTGCGCATGTCACCCGCACCCCCACCAAACCCCACCACCCCCCGTCATTCAAGCAGAGCTCTAGAGACATGCAAAACACAGAGGATGGAAAGAGAGCGCACAGCTTAGCATACAAAGAAATGGAAACACTGAGAATAGATGAATTGTAATTGTGTGTATTAGGAAACTGAAATTATTCTGAAAAATATTTCACTAGCAATTAAAACTATTAACAATACTTTTATCTTTATTGTCTACTTCTAAGATTTTTCAGCAGTTCTGGTAAACATTCATGCTAAGCTTTGGAGTTTTATATGTTAGAATAGTATAATTTATTTGCTTTAAAAATTTATA